CGGGGGTTGCCAATCAGGGGAAGAATTCAATCAGCCGCCGTGACACTGCCAGCGCTGAGACACAAGGCTTGGCAGGCAGCAGAATGCCTTCACGTATCAATCTGTTATCTCTGAAAGCGGACTAAAGCGCTAACTCAGCGGTGACCTTCACCTGGGAGCAGAGAGCTGCCCGCCGCGGCCGTGGCTGTGCCCCGGGCTCGGACCCCGCTGCCGGAGAAACCCTCCGGCAGGTAAACGCCGGTGCCTCCTCCGGCCATCAGGGCTCAGCCGCTGGTCTCCACCACACAGAGCACCCTGCAGCCTAGAGAAGGACCCTTCTGGGCGAGCCCTGCCAACGCTCTGTACGTACCTAAGGCATCTTGCAAGTATTTCTGCCCCACCAGCTTCAGGTATTCTTCGATTGCTTTGGTGGCCAGTGTATTCTCCCTGAAAATGAGATGCTCATTCTCACCACAGCGATCAACTTCAGACATCATCAGGTCAGTCAAGAAATCCTGGAAAGCAAAGCCCACGGTGGGTCACCACGCACTGGCACACGCTTTGTTCAGCAGAGCAGGCAGCCTCCCCTTCTGCGGAGAGGTCTCGCCTTCGTCAGACACACGAGGGAGCGGAGGTGCTGCCGGCGATCCCGGGTGCGCACGCTGTGTTACCACCAGCCCGACTTCTCTCCAGCCTCGTGGAGACAAGAGGAGAGATGAAGCACCCCAAAAAATGATTCATTCCAGGCCTGCACCACATTCACCCCTCCATCAGCACTGGTTTTTGGTTGGGTCTCATGAGCAGCCTCACATTTTGTGGGTGAAATGTTTTCCCCACTGCTCGGTTGGCTGCAGTTGGTGTTTCCCTCACTGGGACAAACTGAGATGTCGTGAGCTGTGCCCCACAGTTAACGGTGCAGAATCAAGCCTGTAATACGCATCAAGATGCTCAAATGTCCCACTTCTTTGGCATTCATGGACACAAACAGCACTGCTGCAGCACACATCTTGGGCACGTTTTCGGTCTGATGTGCACACAACCAAATACTGTGCCATTTTATAACCCTCTGTGCTGCAGAGCAATGGAGGGGGTGGGCAGGAGCCGACCGCGCGCTGACAGCTGCCCCGTGCATCAGTCTGGGCTACTGAATTGCAAATTCTAAGAGAAAAACAGCACTTTGGACCGAGCTTGATGTCTGCTTCAGCAACAGCACGGACTGCTCAGAGAGGGTCACGTAGCTCCCGTGCATTCTGCTGAGAATCCACTACGTGGTGTAACATTTAGTGTGCCGTGAATGCAGGGGAGACGCCACGCAGTTTTTAATGCTAATACATGTTCAACTTCTGCTCTCTGCCCTGCTAAAGGGAAAAGCAGCTCTGGGCCCCTGCCCAGCTCCGGGTGCTGAAAGGTTCGACCTCATCCCACCCAGCGCTGCTCCCCGCACAGCAAAGGGACACAGGCTGCTGGCACCGTGCAAAGCACGTGCATTAGTCCTCTAACTGTTTCCCCATGCAGGAGGCAGAGCAATGCAATTCATTTCTACGACCAAGGGCACCGTTTTTAAACTGCCTTCCTCTAAACCAAAATAATCTGCTCAGTAATAACCTTTCACTAAGAAAGTCTCCTTCATTTGTCACGACCATACCAGATGTCACCTGTTCCTGGCAAGGGCAGCAGGAGCACCCCAGATCCTGTCCTCGCCATCCCCATGCAAAGTGTTGCGGCCATGACCCAGCCTGCTCCTACCCACACCGGGGAGAGGGGACGCTCAGGTCCCTTTCCCCGTCACCAGCTGTCCGGGAGATCTGGAAGAGAGGCACTTAGCACTTCATTTTCCAGATGGACGCCTCTGCACTGAAAGTTTAATCAAGGTTCAACAAACAGCTCCACCTGAACCCAACGGACCCATTTAATCCACAGGCCCGTCGTTACTGTGCTCCTGTCCTAGATGAAGGAAAACACAGGCGGAGGCAGGTACGTCCCCACCTGAGAAGAGGGCAGGAGGGAGGACGGCTGCCATTTCTGCAGCACCCAACGCCCCTATCTCTCCCACCTTCCCACAAGGCTGTGACCGGGACCAACACACCACTGTGACCTTCCCAGAAGAGCCTTCGAAAAAGCCAGAGAAGCTTTGGGGAAAAAAAAGTCACTTCCATTATTTCTTTAGCCAGAAGATCCCTTTCCTCAGATCCCACTACGTCTGCAATGCTCCGGCAGCTGCAGAGGCAAAAATCCCTCCTGCAAGCAAAGCACGCGCCTCCTCCCACTATTTTCTCTCATTTTGCCCCTTTTATCAGCCAAGCTGGAATGAAACTTTAAACCGCTGCTCAAATCCCGTTAGCTGCTATCTGGGTAACTCTATCACCTTTATCTTCCTGGGTCTCTCCCGGGGTACGTTTCAATTCCAAGCCACAGCTCAGGCTGACACAAGGTGCTGATTCTTAATTAGCAGCCGCTGACCTTGGCTTTGCTTGATTCTCTTTCCTGTCACTTTCCCAACATACTAATTATCTCAGGAACACTGAGCTTTATACCTTCTCTTAGTCAAGTGTTTGCTTTTCTCCCCTCTTGTCGGCCGAGGACTGGCAGTCGCGGGATGCGGGGCCGCGCTGCGATGCACAGCCCAACCGCGCGCCAGGGCTGCCGAGCGGTGGAAACCCAGGGGCCAGGTTACAGCCAGGGAGAATGTGAATTTTGATCATTTTAGCTGATCTACAGAATGCACCACAACTTAAAACAAGGCAAAATTCCAGTGTGGGACTCAACGCAAAGCCAGAAAAGAGCCCCCTGAAACCTCTGCTGTGGTTGTCATCCCCTATGGAGAACCTGCACTAGACTGCTGAGAAAATGACCCCTTGTCTCCAAAGTGGAAAGGAAAGCTGCTGAGATCCCAAAGAGCTCCACTATGGCGCAGCACCCAAAGATGGGGTGTGAAGTAGCAGAATCCAGCCTTATTCCTGACCAGAGGATGGAGGCGAGAGCCAGGATACCCAAGAGCATCCCCCAGCCCAGGGCTCCTCCCCATCCCCAGCAGGTCCAGCCTCCCCAGGCTGCTGGAGGCATCTTGCCAGGCTGTACAAACTGGCCCTGAGATGCATCAGGGATCGACATACCCAGAGCCAGCAGCCTGAAGCGAGTTCCTCTGCAGAGACGGCTCTCGGCAGCCCACGGATCTCTGCTCGCCACGGGAACGGAGCCTCGCCCGTGGGTCAGTTCCCATGACATCCTGCAGTTTCTGTCCCAGGGCCATCTTCCAGCTCTTGCCTTCCCTCCACACAAGAAAGCCACATCGGCTCTGGATCACACGTCTGGTATCTCTGCCTTAAGTACGCCAGGAGCCAGCACTCGGAAGACGCAAATGGAATGCAAATACTTGTCCAATCCCTCCGGGGGCCTCACTCACCCACATACAAGGCTCTGAATAAAATGCAATAACTAAAGCCAATAAAACTCCCTGTTTCTGAGCAGCAGAGATTAGCAGGGGGTTGTTTTCAGCTAGGGCCCCTGGCAATGGAAGAAAATAAGATGCTTTATTTCATTACATCGGAGTCGAGAGGGGAAGGAAAAGGTCCTCAGTAAAAATTAAGGGCTGTGGCAGCGTTCTTCAGGCTCGCTCCCGTCTCTATTTTCAGGATATTTGCTTCAGACTGGACACAGCTGAACCTGTGCAACTTCAGTCACTGCATGTATGCTGATAAAGAAGAGCAATTTATAAATAAACAGATTCCGAGCATGACAGCGCGAGGCTGCGCTGCTTTCCAGCACTTCTCAAACCAACCAAGCATGAGCCCACGGCAGCACGTGCCGTTCTAAGGCAGCTCCTCCGCTCCTCCAGAAATGCACGCGGGAGTTTCGCTGCCGGAGCAGCAGCGGGACTGCTGCACGCTGCCACGGAGGATCCCCCAAAGCTTTGCCTGGGGAAGCTGGGAGGAGAATATCGAAATAGGGGTGATGCCCTGGGGATGAGCACACCGCGGCCCCGTGCCACTCCGCGGAGGTCCCCGCCAGCGGCCATCTGAAGCTGCTGCCCCGCGTCAGCCACCATCCGTATCGGCACCAGCCTAGGGCCCCGCTGCCCTGGGGGTGGCCTGAATGGGAACAGGCTCATTGAGAAGTGAAGTCCATCAAGAGAAAAACCAACAACTGCTCAAGACAACAATCCTTCATTGCCCATGTCAATAGGGCCAAGGAAGCGGACTAATTGCATTGCTCAAACACAAAAAATGGGAAGAAAAAGCTAAAAGCTTCTTCACAGGGGAGGAAGTCAGAGCAGAGAAGACAGCTAATTCAGCCAGACGTCCATCAACAGTGGACAGCCCTGCCTGCCCACAGCACCACAGCCCTTGTCCCCACCGTGCTGGGGGGGCCAAGCACCCGGCAGTGCTTGAAACTGGCAGTGCTGCACTTGTCTGTGCCAAGAAAGCCCATCGCACCCCAGCGAGGGGTCGTTCAAGGTGCCAGTCCCTGTGTCTGGAGGCTGTCACTGGGCACCACCTGCCCCCCCCAGCTCCTGAGCCCAGGAGGCAGAAAGATGGAGCCAGCCAGTGCCTGGCATGGCAGTGGTGAGAGCAGGAGCATGTCCCAGGCAAAGGGAGCCTTTCTAGACACATAACCAACAAGCAAAGGAAGTTTTGCAGGACTCATCCTGTCCACATCCAGGAAGGATTCTGCACCTCACCTACCCAGAGAAGGTCCTCCAGCCCCAGCCCCGCCAGGATGTGTCCACAGTTGGAGCACATGGGGTGTCACGGAGCTGATGAGACCCGTGGCCCCACAGACACCACCTGGGACATGCACCCCTCTGGGCTGGAGCTGATTGTTCCCAACATCGTAACTGACTGATGGGCAGATTGACTTTGAAATAATAAGGTTCTCCACATCACAAGCCTGATTAATAGGATTGACTTAACCTTAAGAGGATTGAATTGATAAAGGTAATAAGATTACTGCTTATTTCAAAGACTAGCCCAGAGTCCAGCTGGGCTTTTATGCAAAGGTGAAAAACACCAGGGGCTGGTAGGGCTGCAGGTTGCAGGTGGAGGAGTGTCAGGACACACCGACGGTCAGTGCTGCAGCGGCAGAGAAACGCGGCACTCGACGGTGCTGGGCTGCGCAAGGAGAGCGGCGCACGGGCAGCGACTGGGTCCTGGGCAGATGGTGCAAACCAAGGACCCCAACGGCCAGTCCCCAGCTCTTCACCACCACGCAGTGCCTCCAAGGAGCTGCACTGGATGCTTCTCTGCTGGGAAACACGGTGGGGCTCATCCTCAAAGCTTCTGGCATTTTTTCTTCTCTTTGGGAAAAGGAGGTGAAACGGCAATGCGAGGGTTAACACACAGATATCTGTGTCCATCACCTTGCTCACCACCTAAGAAAACCTGAGGGATGTAGCACTAAGGTCCCCGGAGGGCAGAGGGGCCCCATCCCACACAGGTGGCTCAGAAGCCACCTGCCATCCTGGCTGCCGCCCACCGGCTTCTCCGTCCCTTCAACCAGCCTCACCGTTGTGTTCAGGGAGAACGGGAAAAACGGTGGAGGTGCTCATAAAAGTGATTAAAAGCCTTATTAGCTCAACTATGGCTGCTATAAAATATTATCAGAGAGAGAAACTCTTTGTGATGGCTTCTGCCAGTCTCGTCTATGGCCGAACGTGTGCAGCATCCCGCTTCCCTGTGCCCGCAGCCCTTCCAGCGCGGAGAAGGGAGCGGTGCTCCCGAAGGGACTGGCCGAGCCCCAGTGCCACCAGCCCCCGAGCCTAGCAGTGCCACTCGTCTCCCGGTCCCCTCCCCGAGCGGAGCAGTCACGTTCAGGCAGCCCCACACGGTATTTGCAGGTCCTGCCCTTAACCTGGCGCTGCCAGCGAAGCTCCGACCTCGCGCCACCGGGAACGCGGGGAGTTTGCAGCAGGCTCGCACGGGGGGAGCGAATACATCTGCTTAGCTGAAGCAAATCCTTGCAGCATAAACAAATAAGGACACATGTTTATTCTTCACTCCATTCACAACACGATAAATATTTATTTCAAGTGAGCAGCTGGTTAGTTACAGCTTTGTCTGATGCTGGGTTTGATCTACCAACCGTTTGGACATGAGAGGTATTTTTTAATATATTTATGGTCATGAACTGAGCTCCAAAAGCTGTAAGAGAACCCTGAAACAAAGCATGGGAAATATTCTGGAAGCATCCAAAGTCACAACCGGTCTCGCTCTGGGAAGGACACAGCCTGCCTGTCCACAACCACGTCCCACCGGCCACACCACGCCGCGCTCGCGGCAGGGATGAGCACTCCCAGGAACGCCAAAAACACTTTTAATTAAGACTTTGTGTCTTTTGTCTATGGGCTGCAAAACACACGAAATAGTCAGGCATCTCTCCCCACCCTTACAGCTAACTTTTTATCAGTGCTCTCTCTGGGAAGAGGAACTACAAAACAAGCCAAGGACAGACGCCCAGAGCCACCTCTGTGTTCAGCCACAAAACGATGTCCATCTCACGGCACAGCGATGCCTCTTCCAGTCCCTACTCGCCATAAATAGAGACAGTCAACAACAGCTTGCACTGGGAGTGCTGCTTTAGTTCTGGATGTTTGTCAGACTTCCCAGTGGGCTGGGGCAGCTCCCTCAGCCTTTAACTTTATCAAAATGCTTTTCCTCCTCCTCTCCACCCATCTGCCTTGGCAGCTGGTCAGGGGTTTCCAGGCGTGCCCTGGAAGCTTTTCCCCTTTCCAGAGATCAAGCGTAGCTCGGACTTTGACTCCAGAGAGAACTTTCTGCTTTCATTCTCCTTTTAATCTATCATGACACAGCTACAAAGCCCAAGAAAAAGCAGATACTTAGGAGAAAATTCAGCTGCAGCCCTTGTCGCAGCTCTGCCTGCAGTGGTATGCACTGTGCCCCTCGGGCAGGAGGGACGCAGGCACTGCCTCTGGGTTTTGGCAGCTGCAGGTACCGGCAGGTGGCCGGGTGTCCATGGGGAAGGATCACAGGGGATGCTGGTGGCCTGGGCCGGCTGTCCTGGCACACGGCATCACCTGCGCAGCGCCACGTCACCCCTCTCCTGCGCGGGAACTCCTGCAGCGCAGCGCAGGGCGGGCACACGTACCCGTTGGCCGTGCCTCGTTAAGGGATTACACCATATTTACTGCAAATCGCTACAGGAAACAAGGCCTGAAACAGTGCAAAAGCAATTAGCTGCTAACGAGTCTTCACAGATAATCTACCGGACTCTCGTTTCTCACTCCAACTGTAATTGCTGCTTTAGCTTCAGCTACTGCAGCCAAGATCCACAAAAACCCCTTTATCAGCAAAATAAATTAGTGGTTGCTGATTGCCACGTCTGCGCTCTCCAGCTAGGAGAGGGCAGGGGCGAGCTCCGAGGAGGTTACTGGAAAGGCTCTTGGTAAGGCACGAGGATGGGCAACCCACCTCCAGCCCGGGCCACCTTCGGAGGGTCACAGGAGGACAGGGGAGGAGGAGGGTGCCACTGCCCCACGGCCCCTGCGCACCGGGGTGCGGGAGCGGGGTACTCACCGCTGCTGGACTGGCCCCTGGTCCTCACCCAGAGGTG